CTTCCTATTTTAATTTTAATTAATTAATTAAAATAATTAATTAAAATAATTAATTAAATAATTAGTCATGTGTGGCTTGTGTCTACCATAATGATAGATATAGACAGGAAACAGTAAACACAATAAATAAATGAACATATAAAACTAGAGAGAAATATGGAATGGTTGTAACTCAAAATGGGATGAGAAACTGTACCTTACTGAGAAAGTAACAGAAAGCCCACTGCTATATTCAATTATGTTGAAAACCTTTGCCCACTCGTGAAGAACCACTGGAAACAGCAAGCATTATTGCATAATTTCATGTGTCTATCAATCATTAACCACATGTTTTACATAAAGACATGATTTTACTCTTGTCAAATGTTAGAAATTTTTGCTTGAAGGTTTGATGGCTAGTGTATTACATTACCAAGTACATTTCAGCTGTCTATGCTTCATCCAAATATTTTTTGAGAAGCATTTAAAGAAACTACTTTCCACTTCCTCTTTTCATGTATGTGACATCTATTTACTTTCCGGTCCTCTTTTATTTGTTTTCTGCCCTTATAATTCTACAACTGCTCATTTCTAGGCTCTAAAGATTCTCTAAGAGTTAAACAAAGGGACCTATTTTAGCATCTTTTAACAATATCACTTTTTGAAAAGAAAACTCTATTTCCTTAATGTCTACATTTTCCTATTCTCAATGTCTATTTTTCTTTTGGCTTAACTATTTCATTGTCTCAAAATGGATACATTGTCTTCAATATCCTCTGATTCAGTATGCCTACATAACATTTCTACTATAATAGCTTTAGATATACAATCTCTAAATCAAAGTCCTTCAGTGAATGCCCTGCTATGGTATATATAGAGACAGTATTCTCATCATTGTCAGATCTTTTTTTGATACAACTTCTATCTTTCTTTACAACTTAATACTCTACACTTCTGCACATGTTGATCATGTTCATGAGCCAAACTTAACTATTTGCAAAAAAATTTTTATTGTATGCTGCATTGCCCAGTGAAGAACAATTTCCATAAGTTAATTTAAACCTTTTGTGAAATTATTTATATATTTATTTTGGGTGTTGTCAAGTCCATTTATTTATTTTTTCTGTGAAGTATTTCAAACATTCAGAGAAGTGGAGAATAATATGGCTTATTCCATGACCAGCTTCATCACATCTTAAGATTTTCTCAAAATTTATTAAAGTCAATTTTAAAAGAAGGAAAATATTAGAAATGTATTAGAGGCTCCTCGGCACCTGTCAGCAGGTTATTTCCCTTTCTCTCTCCCCAATAATAGCTGCCATCCTGAATTTGATGATTGCTCCTGAGGATCACACATTATTCTATGTTTATCACATGCATTTCTTATTTTTCCTAAAGTACCTGTTATTAACTCAAGGTGTTTTTGCCTTTGGAAAGTCTATAGAGATCCTCTTACTTTTTTGCATATTATGCTTTTGGTATTTCTAAAGCCAAAAATCTAGCTGCTAAGCAATTATTTTGAAGTAAAGCAACTCATGGTGGATGTTTCTGTTAAAAGCCTCCTACTGCTCAGCAGTTAAATTTTGATTTCTACTGAGAATACTTCCTTTAAAACATTCTCCCCTTTTGCTTGACTTTGTTTCTTCACTTGGCGCCTATTCCCTAGGCTTTCAACCACCTTCTATCAATGGACAGTTTGGTCTCTGCCTTCACAAATGACAGTGCCCTTTCTCTATGAGTAGCAACAACTTCACAGCTATTTTTAATGTTGATGAAATATTTTGGGAAAAGTATATGTTCTACATAAACTGTAATTAGAAATGATTTGATTATTCAAATATAAATATAATATGTGGCAGACATTGTGTTAACAATGGTGATATAAAAAAGAACACAAACAATCCCCGTCCTCTAGCAAATTTGAATCCTAGTTGGAGAGAGAGACCAAACAAAACAAAACAAATGAACAAAAAAACAAGTAAAAAAATATTAAGGCATAAAAAAAATAGCAAATTCTAAAACATCTTATGGAAAAACAAAACAAACCAAAACAAAAGTGTCAGAGAGGGAGAGAGGAGGACTTAGATTATATAGTAGAAATAGTGAACCCCTGCTCTGAGAATACTTAAATCAATACTAAAAGACAGAGAAGCAGTTAACCAAGAATGGAGGAGAAGCAAAATCCAATGTGAAAGCCCTGAATCAGAACAGTGCTTGGTATATCCACTAAAAGTGATCAAGATTTGAGAGGGTAACTCACAGTACCTAAAATGCAGAGATGATGATTCCACTAGAATACCAGTTCATTTGTTTACTTGTGACATACATTTGTCACATGGATAAGAATATTGTAAAAAGCATTAATAACACAACTAAACCCTGTCCTACATCCCAATGGGAAAACAAAATAAAACCAGAAGATAGTATGGACTGATTTTGACAAATCAGTGTCACAAAATCCAAAATAACTTACATGTATTTATATAATCTCACTCACCCTCCTGCCTCTCTTTCCTTCCCTTCCCTTCTCTTATAAAAAGCCAGATCATAATGAAAGATCGCACTCTGAATATAGAACCCTGGAAAGTTGTATTAGATGTGTCAAATATTTGTAATCATAACGCTTAAATATTTCATTAATGCATATTTGTTGTTTACAACTCCAGGCATCAATCTATACAGAAATCCTCAGTCTCATTACCAAATATCCCTTTCCCAATCTCAGGTATCTATTGAGTATTTATGGTCTGTTTGTCTTGCTGATTTTCCTTTTTCTGAAATTCAATAGCAGGAGAACATCCCTTCAAATGCATGCATTCTTTAGCTATGTTTATGAAGTCAATAAACCATGAAATCAGTTCTTTAAGGTAACAGCATATCTAGGTTCTGCCTCTTTAAGTGTTTTTCTTACTTCTTAGAGCTTTGAGGGTAATCGTGTTTTTCTCTTTTTGGATTCTTAGCTGGCACTTCCCTGCAGCCATTAGATACTGATTAATACCTTTACCCTTGCCGCTTCGCATGTAGTGGATGTTCTTTATATCTTCAGCATGAATATATTCACGCATTTTCATCATCTCTTTTTAAATTTACTACTGCAAACTAAGAAGGGTAATTTTATTTGCTTCTGTTTGTGAAGACTACCTTAACATTTGAGTTTCTCTTCCCTGGAACATGTTAAATCAACATCAATAATGACTTAAATTTTAAAATTGTTTATTGGATAAATGTAATCGTATGGTTGGTTTAGTATGAATAAGGGGGAAAAAAAGAAACTTGGCTCCCATTTCTTGATTTCTTTCTAATAGCATGTATGATTTAGGTCAAGGATCAGCTACATAATTTGTGAGGCCCAGTCCAAGATGAAAATGCAGGGCTTTTTATTCAAAAATTAATTAAGAATTTAAAGACAGCAAAATAGAACATTAAATCAGTCATGGGGCTCTTCTGAGCACTCTTGTGTGATTGCACAAATTTCACATCCGTAAAGCTGAAACTGTACAGGTCTTTGGGGCAAGTAGCAGCTGAGAATTAACTTTGTAAATATATTTATGTTTCAAATCAGTTTTATCATAAACTTTCATAAATACAATTTTTGTAATAAAATAAAATAGTATATAAATATAATAAAGTTGAATGACTATATTTGGAACATTCTGACCATCTTTTTGGTGCAGATTGTGGTGAATAGAAATATTAGTTAATGAGAAAACAGTTTTAGTTTCAAGTTTATTGTTAATGAGAAAACAGTTTTAGTTTCAAGTTTATTGTTGACTATGGTATAATGCTTTGGTTTACCCTGAGGAGCCAGATTGTTTGGGTTCTAAAACCTGGCTCTAGCTCCTCTACTAAGTATGGGTCATTGGGCATATTTCCTTACTTTTCTGTGCATCAAGGTACATACACACTGGGATGATAACATAAAATTGATCTCAGAGGTTTGTTATACAGATTATTATATTTCAAGTCCTTTGAAGAAATCTATTCTATTATTTCAAACTTAAACTTTTTTCATTTTTATTTTTGGCCTTAGTGGATGCACTATCCCAGCCTTACTCTCTCTTGCATGGTTGTGAATTGATGGCCAGTGTAATATTAAAAATATTTTATGATATTGTTTGTGTAGAATAAAAATTTTGACAGGTATAGATAAGACATTTAGTTCATGATGATGGAAATTAATGATGTTTTCCTATAAGAACATTAAAAGGATTTTTCTTTTGAAATCTCTTTTAAACTTTTGTCTATCACCATTTGCTTTATTTAAAATCAAAGATTTAAATCACCTGGCTAATAGAGCAATCCTGTTAATCATGTTACAGTTAATAAGTTACATAACTTTAGAATTTAATTCTATATAATTAAGATGGATGCTACGTCTTAGCATTTCAGACATTCTTAAATGTATTTAAAGGCATCTTGTTTAGAAGTAATCCATTGTGATTAATGTATGTTATTTGCTTTTATTTTTCTGTCACTGAATGATAAAGCTTTTTATAACAATATGGATTATTTTTATTTGTAATGATTAACAATCTGTATTTGTGGTTTTTAAAGAAAATGTACAAATTTACAATCTATGGGCTAAATATCTACTATTATGAAATATCATCTGAAATATTTAGTTTAAAAATCAAATTCAGACTATATCAAATGGTAACCATATTAATCATACTTTGTTTTCAGTGCTGGTGGAAAATTTGTTGTAAACTAGTTTAGTTAAAATAGATTCTAAGAAACTCTTAATTCTGAGAAATATGCTTTAAAAAGAATACTCGATCAGGTGTAACTTTCAAGTAAGAAGGTCTTAATACTTCTGGACATTTTGCATTTAAGGTCGTAAGAACATATGAAATATTTGATCAATGTAGCTATTTTTGTTGGTTCTGAAAGTTGAAAAGAAAATTAAAAAAATATTTCTAAATATCACACAACTTTCTAACCATGCCAAGAACTTGACCACTTCCCTCTCCTATGGCTCTCATTGTATAATGTCTATATTCAATCTCTTTTTCTCATATCAGACAGTATTACTGAAGTCTTCACTAACATCTATGTGACCAGTTTTGGCCCTGTCTCAGACACAGATATGGTGAGTTTTTCATTAAATAGTATTTTTATTTCATATCATGCATTGGAAGGGATCATTTAGACTAAACAAGTTGTTTTAGTGTTATAGGATTATATAACTGTCTAATGCCTACTTAGTCTATCCAAGTATGTGGAGAGTTAAGAATGTTCATCTGTTTGTATCTGTGGTATACCATTCCAGCTTGGGTGTTCAGATTACCCTTTATATGTTATATTCTTTTCCAAATTTGTGATCAATAAACAATTATTTAAATAAAAATAATGATATTACTGAGAATCATTTTCTAGGATAAATATACCTGCTTGGACTTCCATAAGTAACTTCTCTATAGTTTCATAGATAACTGCTTCTTACAGAAAGTAGTCATGGGTAGTGTTATAAATGGAAACCTCTTTAAGGCACTGAGTAAGTTGGGCACTTTGTATAATATCTACATATTTACAAATTATGTATATAAGGCACATATAAATCAATCTAAAGAAAACTCGAATCTTGACATACTTGCATTCTATGAAATTGGTACTTATTTATTTTTTATTAAAATACAGTGGGTAGGAGAGGAATATAGTTTGGTGGGTTTAGATACTGGTGGGCTAGAAACATCAAAGATAAATTCTTAATTAAGCACAAACATTTGATAATTAATCTTCTATATTTCTACTGCTAACTGTAGTGCTCTATTATAGAAGATTTTGTTGAAGTAATTTTTAATTCACTAATGCCTTGTCAGATCCTGCTGCATCTTCCAGCTGTTGCCAGCTTTACATTGCATTCTCCTGATATGCCTATCTCTTGTCGCACGCTACATCTCTGGCAAATTTGTGGCTCACAATCTCATCCACCCCTCAGGCATCCTCCGCTCCAAGGTCCAATGGCTCTTTAGACATCCACCTTCCTTATGGCCTAGGGAGTTTGAATTAGAGAAGATGCCCTTGTTCCTTCTTTCGTGATCATCTTTCATCATGTCATCTCTTCCCAGTTCCTTCCCTTTCTCTGATAACCCAAGGGGAAAGATGACAAGTTTGGACATTTTTCCACCTGGATAAACAAACAAAAACAAGAGGTCTGCCCTTTTTGCAAGCTCTCGTAAACATTATTGACCAATTTATTGAGACCTCCTTACTTATGTTATCACACACACACAAAAGATAAATATTTGAAGTGATGGATGTGTTAATTAACTAGATGTGGAAAATTCTTTTACAATGTATACCTATATTAAATCACCACAATGCACACTTTAAACCTCTTGCAATTTTGTCAATTATCTCTCAATGAAACTGATATTTAAGAAAAAAAAAGAAAGGAAAAGAAATTGTGAGGATTTAGCTAGTGTTTCTATGTAGGAGTTCCTTTCAAGCCTTTGTTGGAAAATTTATATATTTTTACAAATCCTGAAATCTGAGAAAAATTAAGTAAGAAAAAATGGGAAAAAGTGTTATAATCCTGCAAGAATTAAATTTTAGCAGTCGACATAAAGGATCCACTGATGTCAAGTTGAAGGAGAGCAGTGAATGCTGCTAAGACTTGAAAGTTAAGGTGAACATGTCCCAGAGCTGGGACAGGACCATGTCCAAGTGAAGTAGTCATGATCAGGCAGTCGTTTTTCTAGCTGTTGTGTCTGTGGTCTTATCTGCTGCTTTCAGTCTAAGAAAAATATTAATTTTTATATGCAAATAAATAAATAAAAGCCAGTAGGGCTGATGTTAGATATGCAGTCATTAGCAACAGAACAAATTTAAACCCCATCTCTGAATTGAAGTCAAAACTTTGGTCTCTTCTGCAAATTTCACCCAAGGACTTTAACAAATTTTAACAAGCTCAACATATGCTTTCTTATTTTGAGGACCCTACTACACATTTTATTAAACATTAAAATTTACTTACATTCCAAACTATATGTATGTGGAATTGATTTCAGTCAAATTATAATTGGCAACATTTAAATTAAAAGGTCACTTTGATTTTTAATTTTTTTTTCCATTTTGGAGTGTATGTGTATGTGAATATGTGTGTTTTTGGTCACATGCATCTATATATGGAGATATCTCTCCAAATGAAATACATATTTAAGATCTCAGTAGGCTCTTGAAAGGCTTGAAGGCCCTTGACATTTTTCTAATGATACATTTCCCTGCATCACCTACCTAACAGAGTTCTGTAGAATTCTTTTTGTCATGTCAGATTTTCTACTTTATTTCAATCTTTATTCATCTTGTTTACTAAGCCATACCAGTCACTAGAAGTCAGAATCATTGCAAAACCACCAAGTGAGCACCTATTTACTCAGAATCTAGTCAGAGGAAAGGATCCATAACAGTAATTTGAACACAGAAAATCTAATATAATAAATTAGTAACTAGAAAAAGGTGGTTGAATAATAAAATAGCATAAAAGAAGACTCAAAGCAACTCAGAATTAGCAAATACAGAAGGCAGTATCTACTTCCAGAGGTGAAGCGTCATGAACTGAAGACTTGGGATAGTACCCTTCCCCGCAAGGCTGAGTGAGATTCAGACCTCAGTGGAGAGGATATTGCTGCTACAGGAGTATACAGCTATTGCTCATGAAGAAACATGTACATGCTAAATCTGGCCAGTAGGAATATCCTACCTGGTGGCTGAAAACTCAGTGCATGTCAGTTTTTTGAAGCTGTGCCAAAGCATGACAATGCACCTAAACCAGGAAGAGAAGCAGAAAGAAAAGTCTCCTTCTCTTGCAATGACATTGGGATATCCCTCCAGCACTCTCTATTGACAAAGCCTAACATTGTGTGAGCTGGCAAAAGAACAATGTTTACAGAGTCCTCCTCTTATATCACAAAGAAGGGGAAAGGAGGGTGGATTTGGAGCTGAGAGGAAATAGGTTGGTAATTGGTATACGTAATGTGTGAAAGGAGGAGAATTCTGAGTAGGAACTGAGAGAGTTTGCTCACTTAACAGGTACTGTTTATTATTTGTTCAAATCTATAGAAGCAAGATGAAGCTAAGGAAAATGAAAGCTGAAAAATCTATATACAAATGTAACACAGACACACACAAACATACACACTTGCTCATATTGTATATCTTTTAGTGAAGATAGAGCTCAATTTAAAAACATGTATACATTTTGTGAAGAGAAATGATTTTGACTTCTTGTTGAATAAATGAAGAGATTCTCAATCTTGATATTAGTTTTGCTGGAATGAAAGATTAATAATTAAGGAAAGTTTGAATTTATGTTAGTGTAGATGGTCAAGTCAAAAAATGAAACTTGACTGTGACATTTTAAATAGAAAGATATTTATTAAGATGGTGAGGGAAAATACATATATTATCATCACCTACATATAAAAGTAGACACGATTATTTCTAATTTATGGCTTACAGAAGCAATTAATGGGAAAAATGTAAAGAATAAATTTAACTTCACTGTTAGTAGCTTAGCAGATACACTCATTTCTATGCAGTGTGCATACTGCATAGAAAGACCTAAACTCCTAAGTCTTCTGGTTCAGGTCAATGATGTAGATTTGTTGTGACATTAGCCTGAGAGGAAAAAGCAGCATAGCAAAAAGAATTAAGAACCAAAAGAACACACACACACACACACACACACACACACACACACAAACTGTATCTCAGAATCATTAACCAGTGTAATTGTCTAAGGAAATTTGCAGGTCTAAATTATAATTAAAGATTCTAATTACAGTGTCTGCAATTTAGTTTAAAATATTTTATTTCAACATTAAAAAAAATGAGTAAGAATATAATTAAACTTTGGAATGTACTAGTAGCTGACAATTGACAAAGTTTGTAGCGTGTGCATTTTAGCAACTTATAACTCACTCCTCTTTTTATTCTTTTCTCTTTGGTGTCCATATAGGCTGTCTTTTCTCATGTTTTTCTTTCCTCTTTGGTGTCTATATAGGATGTCTTTTCTCATGTTAATAAACATTTTTACTCTGTGTGCATATTCTTCAGGTATAAATGATATAGTCACCAATTACTGCACCTAAAGCTAAGCCACCTCAGCCCAAATGGTTATTTATTACAGTGCTAAGTGCTAGAGTCAGAACTTGAACAATGTAAGCTTTGAAGTCATTTCAAGATTTCTGATACAGAGTTTACCTTTAGGCTTTTAAGAAGCAGGAATTCAGGTAAGTAATGACATTGGTTTATTGATCATATCAATCCCCTTGGTTAATACTTTTTTATCTTATGAATACAAGTGTGCATTATCTCTTAGATTTCCCAGAAGCTATAAAGATATTATGTCATTAAATAGTTACATTATAGGGAGGTTTAGAGAGTTATTATATCTCAATATTTGATTGAAAATTGATAAAAACTTAGAAATTAATCCTTAGCAGCAGTTGTCATTTGTAAATGTAGCTAGATAAGGAAAGCCACTACACATATTGCAAATGCTGTATATCAAAAGTAAAGAAATAATGTTTACTCACTTTAAAGCTGGCATGTAGAAGTGACTGCTGAAAGGTTATTGATTTTTTTAATAATTTTTAAAATTTTACAATTGACATACAATATTAAATTAGTTTCAGGTATATAACACAGTGATTAGACATTTATGTAACTTATGAAATGATCACCCTGATAAGTCTAGTACCCATCTGACACAATACATAGTTATTAGAATATTATTGACTATATTTCTTACACTGTACTTTACATCCCCATGACTATTTTGTAACTACCAATTTGTACTTCTTAATCTCTTCCCCATTTTTACCTGCACCTCCTTCCCCAATCACCCTCCCATCTGGCAACCATCAAAATGATCTCTATATCTATTAGTTTCTATTTTGTTTGTTTATTTTTTCTTTAGATTCTACACGTAAGTAAAATTATATGACATTTATTTTCTCTCTGACTTATTTCACTCAGCACAATATCCTCTAGATCCATCCATGTTGTTGCAGATGGAAAGAGTTCATTCTTTTTTATAACTGAGTAATATTCCATTGTATATATGTACCACCTTTTCTTTATTCA